ATTTTTGCATGTTATCACTGTGCCCGTTTTTTGCTTTTATTCTTTGTTCCGCAAAGTGCGCTCTTTTAGTTTGTAGTGATGTGACAATATATTATCTAGGCCCGCCTGGGTCACCCTATTTTCCTGGGCGGCCCGGCCGTGCAAGGAATAGGGAAGGTCCCAGCCAAAAAATAATAATAATAAATCCAAAAAATCCCCAAAACAACTATGTTATGCAGAAAATTAAACTGAACAACTCTTGCCGCAGGGTCACATCGAAATTCCTTACCACGTTTAAAATTAAAAAATATATATTATTTAGTAATTACTAACTACCTGCGTAGCACCGTGTTGGCGTTCGGAGGCGAATGCGAACATGTTCGCACGAAAAAATTATTATTTAGTAATTACTAACTAGTAACTACTAATTAGTAATTTACATTAATTTTTAATTTATTTATTTATTTTGGCGCGGCCGGGCAAGTGGACCCGGGCCACTCTGGTAGCCTAGTATGTTATGTCATAAAATTATAATAGGTCAGTTTTTTGAGCACGTAAGTTGCACTAAAGTGTTTGTGGGTTCGATACCCAACGTCGTTCTTTCAATCCCGTCGAGCTCCTGGCGCCCTGAGGGTATGCTTCAGATTGACCCCCGGAGATTGTTGGCTTGGGCCACCTGGGTGGTCGGGAAGTACTTGGTTCTTTCCAGCCTGCGCCGGGTGTTTGGACCTTGTGTACTGCTCCCCACACGGAGCAGAGATAGGTAGGCGTAGACCCATAACCTTAGGGTAACTTTGAAATGCATTCCAGGCATCCCTCAAAGATAACACACCCCCACTGGACCCTAAAGTTAGCGTGTATACATTCAACATTTTCGGCGTTGAAAGTTGAAAGTTGAAAGTTGAAACAGTTACTGCGCCCTAGTTTTCCGCGAAAGAAAACGACTTTGCCTGCCAGCCTGAAAGGTAGTGGTGGCTGAAATCCTTTTTAATACATTTTTTTTCCCCTTCTTTTCTTTGTGAAAGTTTGCAGGCTATTTTTTTTTCTTGTTTTTCATTTGTTTATTGAACTTTATTGAACTTTATTCATGTTTTCATCGTATGTTGCTTTTGTGGGTGTACCGATCTGCCGCAACAACGCTTATCACACAGTCCTGTGCACATCTGCTTTGGCCGGGCGAGTCATCATCAGACATTGCCGAGCTTCTAGGTTCTGAAATGGCGTTGTCTTCATTTCCGGCTATTGCGTTGGATGCTTTACAGCCTCTTTTAAGCTTCATTGAATCAGGGTAATGCAAACGCGTACCCCCACCTTTGTGTGTGTGTGTGTGTGTGTGTGTGTGTGTGTGTGTGTGTGTGTGAGAGAGAGAGAGAGAGAGAGAGAGAGAGAGAGAGAGAGAGAGAG